ATCTTGTGGTTAGCTTTATAAAATCGACTTCACTGCCAAGTTTCTTTTATCTTTCAGTGTATTTCTGTTATATTGTCATTTATTGCTTATATTCTTATGATTTAATTTTAAGGGATCAAAATGACAGATATACTGAAAAGTATCCTGTCTGTTCAATGTTAACTATTTTCTTTTTCAAAGTTTACATTGCTATTATTGAGCCAATTACGTCGTATATCGCACAGAGAAATTTTGCTCTGTACGTTTTGCTGGCATGTGTTACTGCAGACTGTATGTCCATTGTTTGTAAACTGTCTTACCATAGGAGATCTTAAAGCTAGTTGCACACTAATTTTTCAGTTATCTTGTATGTTTTCTTACAGATTGAGAATATCTACAAATCTCTTACCAATTTGTCACAAGAAGAAAAGATAACCAAGTTGTTAATGCTTAAACTGCGATATTTCACTCCTAAAGAAATAGCAAATCTCCTTGGATTTCCTCCAGAGTTTGGTATGTGGGATACATGTAGACCTCAGCCTTCATTTATTAAGGTTTCCAGAATTCATTAGGGACTCACATGTGTGTTTTGTGAATAAACCCTTGCCCAGACAGATTGGTTTAAGAAACCTCCTTCCTTTCCCTATTCATGGAATTTTTGGCATCTTCTTGCCTTCTTTCCCCTTTCCCTTATAACTGCCTCATTCCAGTCTCTTCTGACTCAATTCTCCCTCTCACTTAACTCCACCAGTGGCCAGAGTAGTTTGCAGGGCAGAAGGAGCCCATGGCAATTCCCCACCTCTTTCTAGGGATGGTTGTTAATGGTATCCCCTGTTCAGCTCATTTTCTTGCCTCCAGAAGTCCTTTACTAGTAACCTCATGCTAGAGCTTGTGAAAGAAAGCCTTTGCTTGTCTTTTTTTTTTAATAAGATCTGTCATTTATTTATTAAAAGCAATGCTCTCCTGCTAATATTTTATCTTTACCAGGTTCCCAGGGGAAAGGAACCTTCTGAGTGCCTTTTTTAATGAAGAAATTAAAGGCAGTTGGGGAATTATTTTGGAAGGGTAGGGAGTGTGTTTGTATTTATTCTCTTCCTCAAGGATACATTCTTATCAATAGTGTGCCTTTTTCCTTCCCTACAAGGTTGAAGTGGAGAAAAGGGAAAGTGAGAGTTCATCTAGGAAGGAGCATTCCTGAAGGGAAGAAGGGTGACCCAGGGACACAGACACTAGAGTTGACAAAAGATTAGGGGATCAGAAGCAGGGAATCTCAAGAACAAAAGTGAAGATGTAGTTGTAGAGTTAGAAAGGCAAAAAGTCCTAACTCCACTGGCAGTCCAGGAAATGTGGGGATTAGCGCTGTGAAGAGATGGGACTTGTGGCCTTTGCTTTCTTAGAGCAGTCCCCGCCCCTCCCTGCAGCGGGGCGGTGCTCTCAGCAGTGAAGGGGCCAGGACAGGGGTTTCTTAGGCCTGGGTGTGGTGTGCTCCCAGTACCTGGGTGATGGGCAGGGAGAAAGACTGACCTCTCTAACATGCTTCCAGAGCTACAGAAGGAGGAAATGTGCTTTTGAGAACTCTGCTTAAGAGTTTGAATGCAGAAAAGACGAACTTTGTTAAATCTGATACTGCTGTAATATTCTTTAAGTAAACAATGAGTTAAATAGATCATGTTTCAAATTCTAACTAATGGATTTACAGATGAAGTTAGGAACACAATCCTTTTGTACATGGAGAACAAACTGCCAATATAATTTGAGTACCCTCTTGGTAATTGATTCTCCGAGCGTAGTCACAGCAACCAGGTTTATTTTCTACTCCCTGCCTCATTCTTAGTGATCTCATTCCATCCCACATATCCTGGGGAGTGTTATTTAAGAAAAACACAGACTTTCCTTGTCTTAGTTTATGTCACAAAATGAGTGAAAACACCACAAAACAAATAAAGAGCTGAGAGTTAGACTCAAGAATTTTATTCCCAGTATGCTTTCCTAGTGACTATTTTTTTCTTTTTTCAGATGAGCTATCAGACATATGACTAAAGAGAGAAAAGAGATTAACTATCTAATGAAAACTAATTAAGTTTTATTCTAGTGCTTTTTTTTTTTTCAAGGAGTGTTAGTCACTTTGGTAATACTGAAACTTGGTAAGGGACACATAACTCAGACAAACTGGGTTTGAATCCTAGCTGCACCTTAACTGCTTCCTACCTTAGTTTACTCATCTGTAAAATGGGGATAATTACAGCACCTACTTCATAGGGTTGTTGTGACAGTTAAGTGAATTAATATGTATGAAATGCTTACACAATTATCTGAAACATAATATAAAATTTGTGTTAGCTTTTATTTTTTAAATGAGACATTTCCTTTCATAACCTTTATTTCATACATATTTTTTCTCATTATTTTTAAATTTTAGGTGAGTAAAGTAGAATTTTTCAAAGCTGTCAGAATATCTGTGTATAATATATGCAAAAAGGCTTTTTAAATAGCTGAATCGTCCTTTAAAATATCTGGCATATTTTGTAGTCAAACTTTCCCTGATGTCGCCACTCAGCAGCACCGTGACACAACCGTCCCTCATGTGTGTTTCCAACATTATTGACTCTGAGTGCAAAAATGGGCATTGTTTGAGCTGTTTTTCCACTGGCAATGATGGATCTGCATTGATCCTTCTGTACATTTTGTCCCGGTTTTCTTTATGACTGGCGGCATATGTCCACGCAGTAGCAGGCTTTGGGAGACAGGGACACTAACCTACGCTTACTGGGTGAAAGTTACTACCTTGACCTTGTTAATTCTGTTTCTTTGGTGTTGAGGATTATTGTTATTTTTAATGTATCTAAGTTTTTAAAAAGTCACTCTTTAACTTAAAAAATTATTTAATTTTTTCCCATAAGTCAGTTTAGATTTTTAAAAATACACACAAATGCACACTGGCACATATAATTTTTACAAATCCAACTTGTTTTCAGACCTTTCTTTCCTTCTGATGTAATGTTAACATTGTGAAAGACCATCTCTGGGATACTCTAAAAGTCTGTTTGTAGGTACATTTGTACCTCTGGCTACTTTGAACTAAATAATGTTTAAGATGAGTAATGTGCTTGTCTAAGACATTATCCTTAGAATAGCAACTTCATGATCCTGTTCAATTGTACATATAGTTTTATTATAGTAATTACTATTATTTTATTGCAGTTCATATAATGTCAAGTATTGATGAAACAACTTTACTATTAATATAACCAACTCTACCTTCTGGCCCTTATATGTATATGAAATATTGCTACTCTTAATACTCTTTAATTAGGTTTTTCACTTTCTTGTATGAGTTACTTTTCCTTTATTGATTCTCTATGCCAAAGGGTACTGAATGTAAAATCCTGACATCGTAACTAACATTATAGTGCACAGTCTTATGCATGGGCAATCTTTTATGCTGGTATTTGTAAGGATTTCTTCCAGCATGTATAGTATTTGTGGGCCTTTTTGTTTTGAAAAAGAATGTAGCAAATAGAAGTCCAACGTGAGAAAGACATTTTGTGGAAGCAGAGTATGAAAAACAACTGTGGGGGACTTGTATCTAGAATATTTAAACAACTCTTACAACTCAATTATGAAAAGAAAAAAAATCCAATTTAAAAATGGGCAAAGGATTTAAATCAACATTTCTCCAAAAGAGATAGGTAAATGGCCAATAATCACATGAAAAAGATGTTATTCGTTAGTTATTAGGGAAATGTAAATCAAGCCACAATATGATATCACTTCATACGTATTAGGATAGCTAAAATAAAAAAGACAAACAAGAGCAATGCTGGCAAGGATGTGGAGAAACCGGAACCCTCATACACTGCTGGTCGGATAATGAAATGGTACAGCTGTTTGGAAAACAGCCTGACAGTTCCTCAAAGGTTAAACGTAGAGTTATTGTGTGACCCAGCAATTTCGCCCCTAGGTATATATCCAAGAGAATTGAAAACATATGTCCACACAAAAACTTATGCATGAATGTTCATAGCAGCATTATCCATTGCAGCCAAAAAGTAGAAACAACTCAATGTCTATCACTGGATAAATAATGAATAGATAAATAAATGTGGTATATCCATACAATAGAATATTATTCAACCATAAAAAGGAATGGACTATTGGTACATTCTACAACATGAATGAACCTTGAAAACATTATGGTAAGTGAAAGAAGCCAGACACCAAAGACAACATCTTAATATTATATGGTTCTGTATATATGAAATGTTCAGAATGGACAAATCCATAGAAACAGAAAGTAGATTAGTGGTTGCAGGTAGGGAGGAAATGAGGGTGATTGCTAATGGGTACCAGTGATAAAAATGTTCTGGAAATAGATAGTTGAGGTGTTTGAAAAACTCTATGACTATATTAAAGACCACTGAATTGTACACTTTAAAAGGGTGAATTTTATGGTATGTAAATTCTATCAATATCTTCATATAGCTGTTGTTATGTAAAAGAAATAACTGTGAAATAATGGTATTCACTGCTTTTTCTAAAAGTGCGTTAATACATGGATTTCTCTGAGTTCTGTGGGTATTAATATGTGTACGTGTGTGTGCTGAGCATAAGATATAGTATGATATGACACTATCTCATTGTGTAGGTAACGTAATGAATGTTATATAATATTTTTGGCTCCAAATTATTTGTTAATAAAACTTCATGGAGACCTCATTGATTTATTTATGAAGTGACCACTGTGCCTTTACTAAAGGATACATCCTTTTATCTCTGGAAGTTACTGTTACAAATGATTGCATAGAAATTGTTATCTCTCTTTTCTAGGATTTCCCGAGAAGATAACAGTGAAACAGCGTTACCGCCTGCTTGGAAACAGTCTCAATGTGCATGTGGTAGCTAAACTAATCAAAATCCTGTATGAGTAATTTTAAAATAACACAGAAAGATGGTCTTCATATTCTTTCATTTCCAGATAGTAATTCTGAAATTCTGCTTTGAACTAATTTTGATGAAATTCAACTAAATTATTTTAATCTGTCTTTATTACAAAATTTG